TGTCCCACAAGCCACTCCCAAGGAACCACGCAGAGGTTTAATATTAATTATAAATGCTCGGCCATAGCTCAGGCTTGCTACTAGCTAACTCTTACCTTTAAATTAACCCATATTTCTTATCTGTGCTTTGCCACGTAGCTGGTACCCATTCCCAGTGCGGCACGTCCATCTTGCTTCTCTCTGCATCCACCTTTCTTATTCCCAGCATTCTTAGTTTGGCTCTTCCACCTAATCTTATCCTGCTCAGCTATTGGCCAGTCAGCTTCTTTATGAAGCCAATCACAGCGGCAAATATTCACACAGAGTAAAGGAATATTCCACATTTGACTTCCTGGACAGTCACCCCAAATTTTGCTATGTTAAAATTAAACCTTCCTTTTTAATTAGACCAAAAGGGAGAAATGCTGTGGCATAATCCTTTTGTTCACTGTGAATATGTATTGTACACTATGAAAATATGTATTACTCTCATTGGTTAATAAAGAGCTGACTGTCCAATGGCTAAGCAGGATTTTCCAGGCAGAGAGAATGCTGGGAAGAAGGAGGGTGGATTCTGAGGAATCTCAAGGAGTTGACAATAAACTCAGAGAAGCAAGATGGCCATGCTTCCTGAGAAAAGATACCAAGCCATGTAGCAAAGCATAGATAAGAAATAGGGGTTAACGCCCGGTGTTGGTGGCACACACTTTAAATCCCAGCACTTGGGAGGCAGAGGCAGGTGGATCTCTGTGAGTCCAAGGCCAGTCTGGTCTACAGAGCTAGTTCCAGGACAGCGTCCAAAGCTACAGAGAAATCCTGTCTCAAAAAACCAAGAAAGAGGAAGAAGAAGAAGAAGAAGAAGAAGAAGAAGAAGAAGAAGAAGAAGAAGAAATATGGGTTGACATAAATGTAAGTGCTAGCTAGTAGCAAGCCTGAGTTGTTGTCCAAGCATTGATAATTAATATTAAGCTTCTGTTGTTTACTTGGGAGCTGCTGGCAGGAAAGGAAAACTCTGACTACACCAGCTATTAGTGTAGTGTAGTGATTTTTGTTCCCTGCATTCATTAATTACTGAATCTGATACTTCACCTGTAAACTACGTCTCCCTGTTGATAGGGACCTATAAATAAATGGCAGCTTCACCTTTCTCTTTCCAATCCTTGCCTCATCGTTGACTTTTCTTAATGATCTCTGTCCACCCTCCAGACCAGCCTCAAATGTATGTGTGCTGGTGTGGCTGGGGGTGGAGCCTGTCTGTAGCTGTCAGTCACAGGCAGTTAGGTCAGACACAGAGATGGTCATAAATGCTAATAAAGTAAGTAATTAATCCCTGGACCTGCAACTTTCCAAACCCTGCACAGCCACTGAAGTTCCAATAGGTGTGGTTGGAAGGTGTGTGTTTTCCAGGAGCCTGCCTTCACAGAGGAAACACAGTTCACTGTGTGTGTATGTTTTTCCTCTGTGTGACTGTGTTGTTGGGAGTGTTCCGTGTTCACCCAGAGATCGCCCTGTAGTTTTCCTTCCTTGAAATTTTCTCATCTGGCTTTGGAATCAGGCTATCTTAGGATTGCCTCGTTAACACATGGGGAAGATCCCCTTTTCCCGTTCCTGGAATGGCTTGTTCAAGATTATCATCATTGTTTAGCATCTTAACTTATTCACTCAACAGCTGTGTCCAAAGAAGTGACTGAGTGGTTAAAAGCACTTAGTGCTCTTGCCAAGGGCCAGGTTTGGTTCCCAACACCCACATGGCAGCTCACGGCCACTGTAGCTCCAGTCCTGGGTGATCTGGCACCCTCTTCTGGCCTCCACAGGTACTGTGTGCACAAGATGCTCATAGTTGCCAGCAAAACACACACACACACACAGACACACACACACACACTCACACTCACACACACACACTCACTCACACACACACACTCACTCACACACACACATTCACACTCACACACACACTCACACACACACACACACACACACACTCACACGATAAATAAAACATAAAACTTTTTTCAAATGATAGTCTGTGCTGAGGAGTTTCTTTTGTGGAAGCTTTTGAAGTTTGCACTAGATGTTTCTACACCTACACTAATCTCAGGAGTTGTGGGTTTTTAAGGTGTGTCTGTCTGTTTCTCAAGCTCACCGGCATGAAGGAATACTAGTATTCTACAATGACACTTTTAAAAATGATTTTCCTGATCCATTATTTTACAAGAGCCCATGACTCTCTCCATCTCTGTGTCCCTTCCATGCTTAAAACCCATAAAATTTGTGTACTCAATAAAAAAAAATTGTTGTTTTATAGATTATATAACTAATTCTGCATTCAACTCATTCTTATCAAGATGGCCACTCTTGCAGGCAGCCCTGACCAGGTGGACAGTGATTCATCTGTGTGTTGGTCAGGTGAGATCCGGAGACGACACAATAAACACGAACAACAGGACCACAAACACTTCTGGGTCCCCGAGAGAAGGATGCAAATCTGGAGTGAAGATGATGACCCCGCTACTCTACTAGCAGATGAAATGGGGGTGGAGAGGACAGAAAGGGAAGGAAGAAAACAAGAGAGAGAAGACAGTGTAGGGGGGCGACAACGAGGAAGGAAAGGAGAGACGGAAGGGGAGGGGGAGACAGAGAGGAGAGGGAAGATGACAGGGAAGGGAGGGAGGAAGCCTGCAGGCTGTGCTGTCACTAGGGCTCTAAGACGTCCTCACACCTTCCCTGGAGCTGAGCAGTGCAGGCTTAGAGCAACCACACATGGGGGAACTTGGTGACATCCCCTAATGCCACCCACGGGTTTCTAGTGGTCAGCAGCTTCGGAGTTCACAGTGAGGACAATAAGAAGGAACAGACCTCATCACAATCAACCACTCTGAAGGGAAGTCTGAACTAGGCCAGAGGTGACAGGGCATGACAGGGCTACAAATAACTTAGGTCCGGACCCCAGATGGTTGTAGAGGCAACCGCTGCGCTAAATGCACCCAGTGGGTCGCGACCCTTGCCCTCTCCCCTCCATGGTTCTGTCCACACTGTGCAACCCAAACCCCACGCATTGAACAGTGACTGCACCATCACATCACCGCCCTACTGTGTGTCTCCATGGTTTTTCTTTGAACGCATGAGTGTGCAGTGAAGATGTGTGGGAGTATGCATATGTTTGTTTGGGGGGGGCACACCGGGCACAAGGGGATGTCAGAGGACAGCTTGCAGGAGTCAGTTTAAACTTCCTGCCTGGTAGGTTTCAGGGATCAAACTCAACTTATCAGGCTTGGTGTCAGCAAGCTCTGACTGAGCCATCTTGCCAGCCCTAGTGACGTCCTTTATAAAGAGAACCTCTCTCTCTGTGTGTCTCTGTCTGTCTGTCTATCTCTCTCTGTGTGTCTTGTGTGTGTGTGTGTGTGTCTCTCTCTGTCTCTGTGTGTGTGTCTCTGTGTGTGTCTGTGTGTGTGTCCTTGTCTCTGTGTGTGTGTCTCTGTGTGTGTGTCTCTCTCTGTCTCTGTCTCTCTCTGTGTGTGTGTGTGTGTGTGTCTGTGTGTGTGTGTGTGTATGTTTCTGTCTATCTGTCTGGCTCTCTCTGTGTGTGTGCGTGTGTCTCTGTCTCTGTGTGTGTGTGTCTGTGTGTGTGTCTCTCTGTGTGTGTGTGTGTCTTTGTGTGTGTGTCTCTGTCTCTCTCTGTCTCTCTGTCTCTGTCTCTGTCTCTGTCTGTGTGTGTGTGTCTGTGTGTGTATGTGTCTGTCTATCTGTCTGTCTCTCTCTGTGTGTGTGCGTGTGTCTCTGTCTCTCTGTGTGTGTGTGTCTGTGTGTGTGTCTCTGTGTGTGTGTCTCTGTCTCTCTCTCTGTCTCTCTGTCTCTCTGTGTGTGTGTGTCTGTCTGTCTGTCTCTGTGTGTGTGTCTCTGTGTATGTGTGTCTCTCTCTGTCTCTCTCTCTCTGTGTGTGTCTCTCCCTCTCTCTCTCTCTCTCTCTCTCTCTCTCTCTCTCTCTGTGTGTGTGTGTGTGTGTGTGTGTGTGTAAGTCATCTAGAGGGAGAGGGAGACAGTGGAAATTCTCTTTTGTAGAGTTCTTCACTACTCAGATAAGATCTCTCACTGAAATTGGAGTTCTCTGTAGTTCAGACAGGTTGGCAGCCAGCAAGACCAAGGGATAGCTTCCTTTCTTGGAAAAAAAAAAGGTAGATAGATAGATAGAGAGATAGATAGATAGATGATAGACAGACAGACAATGTGTGGGTGTTTGAGAGTGATTTGCCACAGAACACATGTAGAAGTCAGACGGCAATTTGTAGAAGTCAGTTCTCTCCTTCCATCAAGTAGATCCCAGGGATTTATCCTAGTGGGCTTGGCTGCAGACATCTTTCCCCCATGAGCCGTCTCACTGACCCCCATCGATCCTGTCTCACCTCCTCTGCCTTCCAGCACTGGGGTTGCAGGAATACATAGGTGCTGGAAATCCGAACTCGGTCCTCTTGTGGGCGTTCACAGCCGCCAATTATGCTCGCCCACTTTGTCACCTCCACTCAGTCACACTGCCTCCCATTGGGAGGTGACAGCATCTCCCACAGCAGGCTTCAGTACGCCAAATCTCCCCTCTTGTTCCTTAGACAATCTTGTTAGGTGTTTGTTCATTCGTTTGTTGATGTTTTCAAAGACTCGGGTTTTGCTTCGCTGACTCCACTTGTAGCTCCTATGCCCTGCTTGTCTGTCTCCGAGGTCGTCCTTACATTAGGCTTTGTAGATGACCAGCGAGTCCCGGAGAGCCTTCTGCCTGATTCCTGGCACTAGGATCACAAAAGCACCCAGCTTCTGTAGGGGGGTTCTGGGGATTGAACTCAGGACCTCATGCTCGCTCAGCGGGCACGTTACAGATTGACCTGTCTATTCAGCCCCAAAGGCCTCATTTTGACATCATCAAGACACATACTGGTAATGAGTTCATTTAAAATGCACAATCCGAATTGTGTTCGCAGCTGTCGCCGCGCTGCTGTCGCCGCGCTGCTGTCTCACTTGGCGAGCTCCAGCCGAAGGAGAGGGGGGTAAGTAAGGAGGTGCTCTTACCATGGCTCGTCCAAAGCAGACTGCCCGAAAATCCACCGGTGGTAAAGCACCCAGGAAACAATTGGCTACAAAAGCCGCTCGCAAAAGTGCGCCCTCTACTGGAGGGGTGAAAAAACCTCATCGTTACAGGCCTGGTACTGTGACACTCCGTGAAATCAGACGCTATCAGAAATACACTGAACTGATTCGCAAGCTCCCCTTCCAGCATCTGGTTAGAGAAATTGCTCAGGACTTCAAAACAGATTTGCGCTTCCAGAGTGCAGCTATTGGTGCTTTGCAGGAGGCAAGTGAGGCCTATCTGGTTAGCCTTTTTGAAGATACCAACATGTGTACCACGCCAAACGTGTAACAATTATGCCAAAAGATATCCAGCTAGCACGCCGCATGCACGGAGAACGTGCTTAAGAGTCCACTATGAGGGGAAACATTTCATTCTCAAAAAAATTTTTCCCCTTCCTGTTATCAGTAGTTCTGAATGTTAGATATTTTTTTCCATGGGGTCAAAAGGTACCTAAGTATATGATTGCGAGTGGAAAAATAGGGAACAGAAATCAGGTATTGGCAGTTTTTCCATTTTCATTTGTGTGTGAATTTTTAATATAAATGCAAGATACAAAGCATTAATGCAAGCAAAATGTTTCAGTGAACACATTTCAACAGTTC